CGGTGCGCGATACTTCATGTAATATAGGAAATATTTTTTTTTTCGTGAAAAGTTGCAGAGGTGCGTCGATGTGCTTTTCATTGTTTAAAGTACACAACAATATCTATTATAATCAGTTATCAAAAAGTAGTTACAAACGATCTTACATCCCAGCTCCAAAGATAGAAGTCTATCGCGTACGGTTCGCGATACTCCATGAATTATAGGAAACATTTCTTTTTCGTGAAAAGTTGCGGAAGTGCATCGATTTGCTTTTCAGGGTTTAAAGTACACAACAAGAGCTATTATGATCGGTTATCAAAAAGTAGTTACAAACGGTCTTACACCCCAGCTCCAAAGAAAGAAGTCTGTCGTGTACGGTGCGCGATACTCCCTGAAATATAGGAAACATTTTTTTTTTCGTGAAAAGTTGCAGAGGTGCGTCGATGTGCTTTTCAGGGTTTAAAGTACACAACAATATCTATTATAATCAGTTATCAAAAAGTAGTTACAAACGATCTTACATCCCAGCTCCAAAGATAGAAGTCTATCGCGTACGGTTCGCGATACTCCATGAATTATAGGAAACATTTCTTTTTCGTGAAAAGTTGCGGAAGTGCATCGATTTGCTTTTCAGGGTTTAAAGTACACAACAAGAGCTATTATGATCGGTTATCAAAAAGGAGTTACAAACAGTCTTACACCCCAGCTCCAAAGAGAGAAGTCTGTCGCGTACGGTGCGCGATACTTCATGTAATATAGGAAATATTTTTTTTTTCGTGAAAAGTTGCAGAGGTGCGTCGATGTGCTTTTCATTGTTTAAAGTACACAACAATATCTATTATAATCAGTTATCAAAAAGTAGTTACAAACGATCTTACATCCCAGCTCCAAAGATAGAAGTCTATCGCGTACGGTTCGCGATACTCCATGAATTATAGGAAACATTTCTTTTTCGTGAAAAGTTGCGGAAGTGCATCGATTTGCTTTTCAGGGTTTAAAGTACACAACAAGAGCTATTATGATCGGTTATCAAAAAGGAGTTACAAACAGTCTTACACCCCAGCTCCAAAGAGAGAAGTCTGTCGCGTACGGTGCGCGATACTCCCTGAAATATAGGAAACATTTTTTTTTTCGTGAAAAGTTGCAGAGGTGCGTCGATGTGCTTTTCAGGGTTTAAAGTACACAACAATATCTATTATAATCAGTTATCAAAAAGTAGTTACAAACGATCTTACATCCCAGCTCCAAAGATAGAAGTCTATCGCGTACGGTTCGCGATACTCCATGAATTATAGGAAACATTTCTTTTTCGTGAAAAGTTGCGGAAGTGCATCGATTTGCTTTTCAGGGTTTAAAGTACACAACAAGAGCTATTATGATCGGTTATCAAAAAGGAGTTACAAACAGTCTTACACCCCAGCTCCAAAGAGAGAAGTCTGTCGCGTACGGTGCGCGATACTTCATGTAATATAGGAAACATTTTTTTTTTCGTGAAAAGTTGCAGAGGTGCGTCGATGTGCTTTTCAGGGTTTAAAGTACACAACAATATCTATTATAATCAGTTATCAAAAAGTAGTTACAAACGATCTTACATCCCAGCTCCAAAGATAGAAGTCTATCGCGTACGGTTCGCGATACTCCATGAATTATAGGAAACATTTCTTTTTCGTGAAAAGTTGCGGAAGTGCATCGATTTGCTTTTCAGGGTTTAAAGTACACAACAAGAGCTATTATGATCGGTTATCAAAAAGGAGTTACAAACAGTCTTACACCCCAGCTCCAAAGAGAGAAGTCTGTCGCGTACGGTGCGCGATACTTCATGTAATATAGGAAATATTTTTTTTTTCGTGAAAAGTTGCAGAGGTGCGTCGATGTGCTTTTCATTGTTTAAAGTACACAACAATATCTATTATAATCAGTTATCAAAAAGTAGTTACAAACGATCTTACATCCCAGCTCCAAAGATAGAAGTCTATCGCGTACGGTTCGCGATACTCCATGAATTATAGGAAACATTTCTTTTTCGTGAAAAGTTGCGGAAGTGCATCGATTTGCTTTTCAGGGTTTAAAGTACACAACAAGAGCTATTATGATCGGTTATCAAAAAGTAGTTACAAACGGTCTTACACCCCAGCTCCAAAGAAAGAAGTCTGTCGTGTACGGTGCGCGATACTCCCTGAAATATAGGAAACATTTTTTTTTTCGTGAAAAGTTGCAGAGGTGCGTCGATGTGCTTTTCAGGGTTTAAAGTACACAACAATATCTATTATAATCAGTTATCAAAAAGTAGTTACAAACGATCTTACATCCCAGCTCCAAAGATAGAAGTCTATCGCGTACGGTTCGCGATACTCCATGAATTATAGGAAACATTTCTTTTTCGTGAAAAGTTGCGGAAGTGCATCGATTTGCTTTTCAGGGTTTAAAGTACACAACAAGAGCTATTATGATCGGTTATCAAAAAGGAGTTACAAACAGTCTTACACCCCAGCTCCAAAGAGAGAAGTCTGTCGCGTACGGTGCGCGATACTTCATGTAATATAGGAAACATTTTTTTTTTCGTGAAAAGTTGCAGAGGTGCGTCGATGTGCTTTTCATTGTTTAAAGTACACAACAATATCTATTATAATCAGTTATCAAAAAGTAGTTACAAACGATCTTACATCCCAGCTCCAAAGATAGAAGTCTATCGCGTACGGTTCGCGATACTCCATGAATTATAGGAAACATTTCTTTTTCGTGAAAAGTTGCGGAAGTGCATCGATTTGCTTTTCAGGGTTTAAAGTACACAACAAGAGCTATTATGATCGGTTATCAAAAAGGAGTTACAAACAGTCTTACACCCCAGCTCCAAAGAGAGAAGTCTGTCGCGTACGGTGCGCGATACTCCCTGAAATATAGGAAACATTTTTTTTTTCGTGAAAAGTTGCAGAGGTGCGTCGATGTGCTTTTCAGGGTTTAAAGTACACAACAATATCTATTATAATCAGTTATCAAAAAGTAGTTACAAACGATCTTACATCCCAGCTCCAAAGATAGAAGTCTATCGCGTACGGTTCGCGATACTCCATGAATTATAGGAAACATTTCTTTTTCGTGAAAAGTTGCGGAAGTGCATCGATTTGCTTTTCAGGGTTTAAAGTACACAACAAGAGCTATTATGATCGGTTATCAAAAAGGAGTTACAAACAGTCTTACACCCCAGCTCCAAAGAGAGAAGTCTGTCGCGTACGGTGCGCGATACTTCATGTAATATAGGAAACATTTTTTTTTCGTGAAAAGTTGCAGAGGTGCGTCGATGTGCTTTTCAGGGTTTAAAGTACACAACAATATCTATTATAATCAGTTATCAAAAAGTAGTTACAAACGATCTTACATCCCAGCTCCAAAGATAGAAGTCTATCGCGTACGGTTCGCGATACTCCATGAATTATAGGAAACATTTATTTTTCGTGAAAAGTTGCGGAAGTGCATCGATTTGCTTTTCAGGGTTTAAAGTACACAACAAGAGCTATTATGATCGGTTATCAAAAAGGAGTTACAAACAGTCTTACACCCCAGCTCCAAAGAGAGAAGTCTGTCGCGTACGGTGCGCGATACTTCATGTAATATAGGAAACATTTTTTTTTTCGTGAAAAGTTGCAGAGGTGCGTCGATGTGCTTTTCAGGGTTTAAAGTACACAACAATATCTATTATAATCAGTTATCAAAAAGTAGTTACAAACGATCTTACATCCCAGCTCCAAAGATAGAAGTCTATCGCGTACGGTTCGCGATACTCCATGAATTATAGGAAACATTTCTTTTTCGTGAAAAGTTGCGGAAGTGCATCGATTTGCTTTTCAGGGTTTAAAGTACACAACAAGAGCTATTATGATCGGTTATCAAAAAGTAGTTACAAACGGTCTTACACCCCAGCTCCAAAGAAAGAAGTCTGTCGTGTACGGTGCGCGATACTCCCTGAAATATAGGAAACATTTTTTTTTTCGTGAAAAGTTGCGGAAGTGCATCGATTTGCTTTTCAGGGTTTAAAGTACACAACAAGAGCTATTATGATCGGTTATCAAAAAGGAGTTACAAACAGTCTTACACCCCAGCTCCAAAGAGAGAAGTCTGTCGCGTACGGTGCGCGATACTTCATGTAATATAGGAAACATTTTTTTTTTCGTGAAAAGTTGCAGAGGTGCGTCGATGTGCTTTTCAGGGTTTAAAGTACACAACAATATCTATTATAATCAGTTATCAAAAAGTAGTTACAAACGGTCTTACACCCCAGCTCCAAAGAGAGAAGTCTGTCGCGTACGGTGCGCGATACTTCATGTAATATAGGAAACATTTTTTTTTTCGTGAAAAATTGCAGAGGTGCGTCGATGTGCTTTTCAGGGTTTAAAGTACACAACAATATCTATTATAATCAGTTATCAAAAAGTAGTTACAAACGATCTTACATCCCAGCTCCAAAGATAGAAGTCTATCGCGTACGGTGCGCGATACTCCATGAATTATACGAAACATTTTTTTTTCGTGAAAAGTTGCAGAGGTGCGTCGATGTGCTTTTCAGGGTTTAAAGTACACAACAATATCTATTATAATCAGTTATCAAAAAGTAGTTACAAACGATCTTACATCCCAGCTCCAAAGATAGAAGTCTATCGCGTACGGTGCGCGATACTCCATGAATTATAGGAAACATTTTTTTTTCGTGAAAAGTTGCGGAAGTGCATCGATTTGCTTTTCAGGGTTTAAAGTACACAACAAGAGCTATTATAATCAGTTGTCAAAAAGTAGTTACAAACGGTCTTACACCCCAGCTTCAAAAAAGAAGTCTGTCGCGTACGGTGCGCGATACTCCCCGAAATTTAGGAAAGCATTTTTTCTTGATTTGTAGAAATAATACTTGTGTCACTTTGCTAAACATTTTTCAGTCTCACTCGTGAACAGCTTGAATCGATATCCTGTTTTAAATAATATAAATAGGTTATGGCTTAGAAAAGAATCAACAGGAATAATATAAATAATTTTTTTTATTAAATATCGTTCTCAAAATATATGTACATGGCATATTAACTTCTTAGTACACAGTAGGGTAGTAATGGTGGGTTGATGGGTAGTGGTGGACACCTCCGTAAGCTGAAAAAAAGGAAGATGTTCAAAGCAACTTTAACACATTGTTATATAAATCAAGAATACAGAAATGTTCATGATCTGTGTAAAACTGGATTGCTATCGAGAACTCTTAAGAACTTTTCTACTCCTAAAACTGTGATAAAAGTTTCCTCTGAAACTTGTATAACTTGGAAGAACCAAAAATCTAACTGAAATTCTAAGCAGTCAGAATGAAAGCTTAAATTAGTTATCTTGTTATTGTATTGCAATCTAAGCTAGGTCTGGTTACTCAGGAGTTAAGCACTGCTAAGAGAAAAGAGAAATTAAAGAAAATATTTTAGGATAAAAATGATTAGACGATCGTGGTATCGTCGACAAGTTTACCAAGCTTCGACTAGGACACTAATGTAATGTCGGGAATACGGTTACAATTCGAAAGGTTTATAACGGTGAGGTCATCAGACCACCGACCTACCTCCGTATCTCCAGGTGGGCACAACACCGACATGTCCTACAATACCGGCAGCACCGTTGTAGGTTTCGTCATCGTACTGTTGGTGTTCCAAGATGTGTTGCTGTTGGAGGTGCTGTTGTTGGAGGGTCTGTTGCTGCTGGAGCTGCTGCTGGTTCTGCAGTTGCTGTTGGTGCTGCAACAGCTGGATCTGTTCCAAGTGGTGTTCACGGGTCAGAGCCTGTTGGTGTTCCAGTTCCTGCTGGTGCTGGAGGTTGTGTTCGTGCTGCAATTCGTGTTCCTGGGTAAGTTCGTGCTGGGCCTGGAGCTGGTGCAAATAAGTTTTCAGTAGATTGTTGAGGAAGTGTTTGTATATTTTTTATATATACTAAGTGACATATAAATCCGAACACCCAGTTTAAATGGTTTTATTTTAATAAAATTTTGTATAAGTACTTAATGAAGCATAATAAGTAAATGATAAAAATTTCAAAATGATTGCACTGCTTTAAAGCCCTTTGACCTTTAATAATGTGTGGATGCACCCTGATATGCTACGCATTCTCCAACGCGCCTAGGCATGCTTCTGATCAGGTGGTCAATGTCCTCCTGTGGTATCTCATTCCAGGCAACCACCAACTCCTCTCGAAGTGCTTCTAGAGTCTGAGGAGGACGTTGCAAATTGAGCAATCTCCTACCCATCAAATCCAATTGGGGATAAGTCGGGAGATCTTGGTGGCCATGGTAACAATATGACATCATTATGTTGAAAGAAGTCTATTGTGACTCTTGCAACATGTGGTCGGACATTATCTTGTTGGAAAGTTGGATCTGCCAGGGTGTCAAGATAGGGTAAAAGATGGGGTTCTAGAACTTCGTGGATATAACGCTGCGCGTTCATGTTACCTCTGATGAAGATTACAGGTGACCTGGAACCATAAGCTATAGCACCCCAAACCATAACTCCAACAGTGTGATGAACATGTCTTTCAACAAAAAACTGTGTATTCCTCCTTTCACCACGTCGCCTTCTAACCCTGGCACGACCATCGTGCATGCCTAAACAAAATCGAGACTCGTCACTAAAGACAATACTGTTCCATTCCTGATCCCAGAGTGACCGTTGTCTGCACCACTCAAGGCGATTACGTCGGTGTTCTCGAGTTAAAGGGAGGATCCAGTGTGGCCGGTATGAAAACAAGCCAAAACTTCTCATTCGTCGGTAAACACTTCGCATGCCAATACGTCTTCCGTGTTCTGCAAACCATTCATTTGCAATGGACCTGGTAGTGGAGAAACGGTCCCTTAAGGCCAATAATCTTAGGCGGCGATCTTCACGGTCTGTTGTTCTACAGCGGCGTCCAGTGCCCCTTGCTCTTTGCGTACGGCCTTCTCGAAGCCATGCCTGGCAACACCTAACCACAGTGTCTACACTTCTTTGCACTCTAACTGCAATTGCCCGAAAAGAAAGTCCAGCTTCCCGAAGTCCCACTATACGGCCCCTATCAAACTCACTAAGTTGACGAAATCGTACAGGTCTCCGTACTCTAGGCATCGTAACCGATCGTAAAGGATGCCAAGAACCAAAATCCGCCAACGTTGATTCTTTACTGCGGCTGAAATATTCATTTTTAGAGCGTTAGTGAATTAAAAAAAAAGCAGTATAAAAACCGGAATGTCCAACTGATAAGGCTGAACATTTTTTCACTTGTTATTTACAGTAAGATAAATACATTCACCAACTTTTATTAAAATAAAACCATTTAAACTGGGTGTTCGGATTTATATGTCACTTAGTATAGTACCTATGGTAGTTAGAGCTAGAATGATATCAAATCTTGATGAATATTTGAAAAGTATGAAAACCATCATGGTCTGTTGTATCTTCAAATGGCAAATAAAGTATCAGACAATTCTTACATTCAATGGACATGCATCATAGTTTACTATCCTGATGATGACCATCTTTATATCCATCAAATATAAGAAAGAAAATTTACTAGTCATCATGATTATAACCAAAGTCTTTAAACCTAGGCCTGATCTTACTTGTTCTTATTACGAAAGCCCAAACTTGTATGTAAAGAATACCTTTAACATAACATGATAGATATTTCTAATAAAATTGATCTTTCGGTGAAAGGGATAGAGAATCAATAGAAAATTTGGGAGCTTACAAATTATTGTGTTACAGATAAGTGAATTGAATATTATTGAAGATCAAAACTATATGGAAATGGCGACAATTCAAATGAATGTTTTTTAGCGAATTTTCTTTTGAACAGAGAGTTCCTGAGAATTAATTTTAAAAGAAACAGACTCACGTGTTTTTAATCAGGTGACTTTGTAAGAGATTCGTGAAAAATGAATATAACTGATAAATGACATTTTCTAAAGCACTATACAAAAAGCCTACAAAAAAATAATTATAAAAATGCTGAGTAAATGAGTTTATAATAAAAATTGTCAATATATCGCCAATAATCATTATTAAAGTATGAAAAACAAGTAACAAGGTTCAAATTTTCTCATAATAATTAAGTGATAGTGTCTCACCTGCCGGCATGAACGTAGGGAACAACAACTTTGTCAATTCCTCCGTAAACGTGGGGATAGGCGCCGTAGACGTGGTGGGGGTAGTCTCCGTAGACATGGGGGTATGCTCCGTAGACGTGGGGATAGGCTCCGTAGCGTGCAGCGACAATGGGGTGGATGTAGGGGTATCCAGTTCCGTAACCGGCACCGTGACCAGTGTGTCCCTCCAACACGTCGTAGATGGAAGCGCTCGCCATTGAGGCGAGAGCGATAAGAGCGAATACGGCTACCTGAAATAAAATGAAACATTAAAAATACACCAAAAACTATGCCCTGAAATGGCTATAAAAGAGACAGAAACTATTGATTACCATTGCTCAGAAGAAAATTCCGTAAATGCAAAATATTTACATTTTGATTTAGCTTCAAATTAGCAAATTTAAAACAGATTTTTGACAAATAAACTGAAATTCTCATTCTCTATAGGTATTTCGTTGCCAATAAAATGATATTCTTTATAGTAGCCTTGGATAGAAAAAATAGTTTAAAATGAAGACAGTTAATTTAGGGGTAGCAATAGAAATTGAACTAGAAAATAGAAAATCACCCTGGTGAAAAAGTTACTAACCTTCATTGTTGCTGGAGAGTTGGGACACTAAATGATGTCCATGTCAACAAAACGTCGAGTTTTTATACTAATTTGTTATGATATGCATTGGTCAGTCCGTGGAACTCTCCCGCAAGAGATAAGGACTGTTACGTAAAGCGGCGACAATACAAGCGGAGCAAAAGCCTCTGCGATATTATGGTAAATTTTATTCTCCGTATTTCATTACCTTAACTCCTAGTTTACAGCACTTCAGTTCAACTAGCATAGCGCATTATTTTGAACTGAAATCTAAAGATCGCTTTCCGGAATCGCACAGCAACCCTTTGTTGCATGAACCAGTGGATTACACAGTCGAAACATTCCAATCCGCGACTCGCACTGTGAACTAAATTAATTTCATGCTTAGACCTTTAAAAGTTATAGTTTTTAAAAACCAAAGACCCATAATTCAGTTCAGGGCAAGTCAAAAATGTATATAGTACTTTGCAGCAGCTCTTGATCTATCAAACCTCAAATATTTACATAAAACAATTCCTTCTCTTTCTCTTCTCGCTCCTACTTCCATCCTTTCTTTCTCCCTCTCCTCTTTCCCCTACAACTAGTCTGGTTTCTGGGCCAACCAGACCTGACAGACTGACGACAGACACTGACATTACAGTGACTATGACCTAAAGGCTAAGGTCCTCCGGACCGCCTTCAGAAGCAACCACGAGTAGTATAATAATAATAATAATAATAATAATAATAAATGGGCTTTATTTCATACCTAAGTATAAGTACAAAAAAGGCGAAGTGTCGCTAAGATTAGCGTTTTTCAACTTAACCTTAATCTTAACAAAATATATATATATATATAATAAAACATTCCACCAACAAAAATGTATCCATAATTCTCAATAATTATTACATAATTAACAACACAAAAAACAGAACAATTACAAGAATAGTCCACATTTCTAGCATTTTATATTCATCATCAGACCTCGACTTGTAGTTTTAGTTTAAGCCTCTTGTTAAAATTAAATAATGTATAGTTTTGGAATGTAACAGGCAGATCATTATATACTAAGTGACATATAAATCCGAACACCCAGTTTAAATAGTTTTATTTTAATAAAATTTTGTATAAGTACTTAATGAAGCATAATAAGTAAATGATAAAAATTTCAAAATGATTGCACTGCTTTAAAGCCCTTTGACCTTTAATAATGTGTGGATGCACCCTGATGTGCTACGCATTCTCCAACGCGCCTAGGCATGCTTCTGATCAGGTGGTCAATGTCCTCCTGTGGTATCTCATTCCAGGCAACCACCAACTCCTCTCGAAGTGCTTCTAGAGTCTGAGGAGGACGTTGCAAATTGAGCAATCTCCTACCCATCATATCCCACACGTGCTCAATTGGGGATAAGTCGGGAGATCTTGGTGGCCATGGTAACAATGTGACATCATTATGTTGAAAGAAGTCTATTGTGACTCTTGCAACATGTGGTCGGGCATTATCTTGTTGGAAAGTTGGATCTGCCAGGGTGTCAAGATAGGGTAAAAGATGGGGTTCTAGAACTTCGTGGATATAACGCTGCGCGTTCATGTTACCTTTGATGAAGATTAAAGGTGACCTGGAACCATAAGCTATAGCACCCCAAACCATAACTCCAACAGTGTGATGAACATGTCTTTCAACAAAAAACTGTGGATTCCTCCTTTCACCACGTCGCCTTCTAACCCTGGCACGACCATCGTGCATGCCTAAACAAAATCGAGACTCGTCACTAAAGACAATACTGTTCCATTCCTGATCCCAGAGTGACCGTTGTCTGCACCACTCAAGGCGATTACGTCGGTGTTCTCGAGTTAAAGGGAGGACCCAGTGTGGCCGGTATGAAAACAAGCAAAACTCCTCATTCGTCGGTAAACACTTCGCATGCCAATAGGTCTTCCGTGTTCTGCAAACCATTCATTTGCAATGGACCTGGTAGTGGAGAAACGGTCCCTTAAGGCCAATAATCTTAGGCGGGGATCTTCACGGTCTGTTGTTCTACGGCGGCGTCCAGTGCCCCTTGCTCTTTGCGTACACAGAATTAGAAAATTTAATTATCAGTAACCGAATTTTCTGACTATTAACCTTTCCTCTACCCATTTTGAAGACCTTAACTACCCAAAACTATTTTAAACGTATTCTGACAGCTGTGATTAATAAAAACAATTGTCATGGCTTTTATTTTTCGCAGCCACCTATGAGTTATAGACTTATTTTGCATTGAAATGAAAATAGGTTGATATGCTGTAATTGCAACATGTGTTTTTTTTTGCTGCAAATTTGATTAGAGAGTGATAAAGTTTGTGTTTTCTACTATATATTATAAAAATATTTATTGTTCATATTATAAACCTATAACTCCCTGCTACATTTTTATTATTTGTGTTTGATAAGAAAAAAACTAAGATTTGAATAGTTGGTCAACTGAAGTGGGAAGGGGCTCGTACACTGTATCTCCAGTAGCCAATGAATCCAATGTCTAATGCCGATAACTAGTAATCTGATTCCATCCAAAATAATTTTTCATTCTGGTACAGCCGAAAAGATAGAGTCTAATCACCCAACTGGAAAAAATCTCGAATGAAAAGTAGAAGACTGATGGATTCGTTTGGCAGATAGAAAGCGATGCGGCATCATGATGATAAGCTCACACTTTAGTCTTAAATTTGTTGGCCAATGTAGTTTTTATTAACATTAATACATTAATAATTAGGTGATACAATAAAATCAATCTTTATTGATTGGCAATAATAATCAAAATACGAAAAAATAGCCCAATATTCCAAGATAACAAATTTGGTGTTAATGATAATTTAATATTTCTCATGTCATCGGCACGATAGCGTGTCGATACAAAGGTTATTTTTATCCTTAAAGAAATTAAAAGATAAATAATAAACATTATATCCATCAAATGTTCATAATAAAAAATATTTTTATCGCCTGGAATTATGTTGCAAATGCTTTGTTTTTTATTTACTGCACTGCGTTCACTCAGGTCAAATGAGTGGATATCGCAAAAAATGCTTAACGACTTCTTTAATTATCATCATGTCATTAAGTGAATGCGTGAAGAAAATAACTGCTTATGATGCTGATATACAATTTTCATGGAGCAAGACAAGTGAAGAGAAAATTTCCCTTTACGTGTCATGCCAAAAGAAGGGGAATTACTGTGACCTTAAAAAATATATACATATATGTTTATGATTTCCTCGTATTTTTTTGCAGGCAAAGTGCAGCACAAAAAAATAGTTTCGTTAGCTGATGTTTTTTGCTGGAGATGCTTTTTTGTTTTGCATGCTTGAAGATATCTCGATCAAAATTCAAACGTTTGAGCATTTTGCAGGCATCTTTTATTGAGATAATTGAGCCGTATTCATAAAAGAGAAGCATATCCTCGGAAGTATAAGGTAAAAGTATAAGGTCTTGCTTCGGAGAAAAAGGTATAAGCATATCCTTGTTTTCATATTCATAATGATTATCTTATACTCGCGAAGATATCCTCCAAGAAGTAAAAGGTTGACGTATTTTTATCTTGAGCGACATGTCCTGACTTGTTCTAGCTTGTAGTTTGTAGTTGACATGTAGTAGTAGTAGTAGTAGTAGTAGTAGTAGTAGAAAGATTTATTTAGCACGTTTGGCTACATAAACAGAACAATTGTAAACAACTTAGAACTAGTAAATTCAAGCCATATGGTGTATGATGTAAATGCTGGGCAACCTATAATTGTAGATTTAACAAGTGATTTCTCAATTTTACTTTAAATTTTGTCAAAGTTTTCTGGTCTTTTATCTCCGAGTATAATTTATTATATTCAATCAACCCTTGATGGAATACAGATTTGTAGCATATGTTATACTTTTTGGTCATTAAATGGAAGTCATCTTTATTTCTGGTATTATGTAAATGATGGTCGACATTTGATGATGTTAAATTAGTTAGACTTGATGGAAATATATTATTTTTTACTTTATAAATGAATATCATTACAAGAGATTTGATAAAATTTTTTACATTGAGCCATTTTAATTTGCTAAGCATTTGCCTAATTGGAGTATATTTATCTTTATTTAGTATTATTCTCATACACTTATTTTGTAAAATTTGCAGTCTTTCAAAAATGGAATTATTTGCTAAATATAGGATAGTCGAACAGTACAAGAAATTTGGAAGAATGATGGTACTATAGATAATTTTTCTGCTATATGAACTCAGACATCCAGAAACCCTCGATAAATATCCCACTTTACTACTAATCTTATTTATAACTTTTTCATAATGAATATCAAAAATTAATCGAGAGTCAACAAAAACTCCCAGGTATTTAAAATTTTCTACGAATTCAATATCTTCACCATCAATATTCAGTTGAACATTTGTACATTGTTTTTTTCCGATTAACAAGGTTTTCGTTTTACTTGCATTTAATTTTAGTCTGTTAGATGCTAACCATTTTGAGACAAGCTTCAAGTCTTCATTTATATAAGAGATACCAGACTGAATATTTTTAGTACTTATATAAATCATAGTGTCATCGGCGAAAATTTGAATTTTGCATTTTTTGACTATGGCAGGTAAATCATTTATGTATAAAATAAAAAGAAGTGGTCCCAGGATACTGCCCTGTGGAACACCCAACGTATTTTCAATTTTTGATGAAATAGTGTCATTAACTTTTGTAACTTGCATCCTTTTAGACAAATAATTTCTAAACCAATCTAAAACACTTCCTGTTATACCATATGCCTTCAATTTACCTAACAAAATATCTCTATCAATCGTTTCAAATGCCTCTTCAAATCCAAAAATACTGCTATGACAACTTCTTCTGAGTCTATGGCTCTTCTCCAATTCTCAGTTACCAACTGGAAAGCTGTTTCTGTGGAATATTTTTTTCGAAAGCCTGCTTGCGCCTCCACTAAAATTTTGTTTTCTTCTATAAACTGCATTAATTGGTCATGCACTATGGACTCTAATAATTTTTCAATGTCTGGTAACACATTTACTGGTCTCATATCGCTGCATCTTTTAGAATCTTTTATTTTGGGAACTGGTGTTATTGTAGAGCATTTC